AAAGGGTTAATTTTAGATCAGCTCTTCATTTTGCAAAAGAAGAAACTGAGGCACAGAAATGTTAGTGGCAGATCCTTGAGTTCCCAAAGCACCCATCCCATGCTCCATCTACATGTCTTTAAAATGTGCCTAGTGGTGAACCCATCATTGCCAGATGTCCCTATTTCTGCCATCAGTCCATTGGACCCTTTTGGACTAAAATGAGTGATCCTTGACTCTTCCATATCTTTAGGCCTCCATTTCTACTTTGGTTTGTCTCTCTCTTATCTTTTTAGTCTGAACTGGCCCATAATTGAGGGCATTTTCACTTGACAACTCTGTTGCTAGAATAGGTTGCTAAGGGTTCCACTGTCTCCAACCTCTTCTTCTTAGAGTAAGAGGAAGACCCAACCATCTTTTCTTTTTTTTACTGGATATTGATCGTAGGGGCACTAGACCACTGAGCACATCCCCACCCCTATTTTGCATTTTATTTAGAGACAGGGTCTCACTGAGTTGCTTAGCACCTTGACGTCACTGAATTCATGGAACATCTGGAAAGTGAGTTCCAAACCAGCAATAGAGCATTATGTTTTATTTTTAGCATCATCAAAGGGCTTAAGACAGTTAAATCAGACCAGCTGATGATCATGGTGCAAGATATGCCCTAAGGTAAAGAAATGATATACTATAGTAGAAACCAAAAAATTATTTGCAGGGAACCACTGGGCAGATTTCCTTTCCTAAATTGTCTCAGCCTCCTGAGCCATCCAGAACCAACTTGATATAACTCAAATTTTTAGTTATAACAACATATATGCCATCTTGCCATATACAAACAAATTCAACATACATTTAGACCATCAATAAAATATGAGTTTATTATTGTCAAGTCATTCCAATTCTGAAAAATATACTAACTATGTGATCTTGGGTACATCTAACTTCCACGAACCACAATGTTTTAGGTATGTTAACTTGTGATATTATTAGTACATGGTCCTAACCCATAGTTATTTGAGGATTAAATGAGATAATAAATGTAAAGCACTTAATAATAACAGTTGTGATAGACAGCTGATAGTATTTGTTGAAACCCTACCATGACCATTATTTTGAGCTCTTTAAATGAATTCCCTCATATTAACTCTATAACATAGATACCATTATTATTCTTAGATGAGAAAACTCAGGCCCAGAGGAATTAAGAAACTTTCCCAAGGTTAACCAGGTAAGTGGCTGAACAAGGATTCAAAACTGGACAAAACTGCTCACCACGGTTTGATATCCAGAACTTCATAAATGACAGTTATTTTATTGTTGTTATATATTATGATCGTTACTTCATTCAATTGAGGAAAAAAACCTTTCCTGTGCTTTCATTTCAGATTTCTTTCTGAAATTGAGTCTTAGCACTACTTTAGGAAGAGATGGATAATTCTTTATAATCAAATGTGCTAGATATTGCTTGTTTCTGCTTCCCAAAGAGAGGCAGGAGGGGTTTTGTATTGCCTGAGCCCTGAAATCACCCTGGTCCTCCTCATACCACTCTGCCTTCCTTAATATTATCAATAAAATGGAAATCATAAAGGAAATCTCTTATCAAGGCATAGCTCATAGTGACACCAAAAATTTGTTCTCTGATTATCTTTTACAGATCCTCTAGGGCTTTCTCATGGAGAGGACCAAAAATTTTTTTGTTTAGCTCTGTTTATTCTTCTATCTCAGACATTTCTGCCTCAGAAGACAATTTAGAAAAGGGAATCTCCCCAGTGGTTCCCTGCAAATAATAATTCTTTGGTTTCTACTATAGTATTTCATTTCTTTCCTTTAGGACATATTTTGTACCATGATCATAAAATGGTCTGATTTAACTGTCTTAAGCCCTTTCATGATACTCAAAAAAAAAAAAAAAAAAAAACCAACAACAAAAAACAAAAACAACAACATAATGCTCCATTGCTGGTTTGGAACTCACTTTCCAGGTTTTCCATGAATTCTTCTTTGGCCCATTATATTTCTGCAACTTATGTGATATACCACCACGCCTTCTCTGCTCTCTTGCTACCCTCAAGTGTGTGTGTGTTTCCCCCTGAGCATCTGTTTATGTTTGAACATCTGGTATTTCTGATTCATAGTAAAAGTTGACCTTGACCTTCTAATAATGAGATTTTTATAGATTCTAGAATTGTAAAATGTTAAAGCCGGAAGGACTTTTGTAGATAACAGAGGCCAACAGATTCCTTTTACAGAGAGGAACCAAGACCCAGAGAAACCAAGTATCAAAAGCAAATCTACGCAGACCATGGCGAGAGGAAGCTAGAACCAGCTCCAAGACTTCTGCTTCATTTGTTTCTTATGAGTTGAATTTGGATATCTGGAAATGACAAATGAGGAATTCACAAGGATCATCCCCAGATGATCATCTTTATATTAGTGGGTTTTTAAATACATTTCCAGGAGGCACAGAGAATAGTATTTCCATGACTGAAAAAACTCAGGCATAATAAGACAAGAGGTACAGAGCTGGGACAGTATCCTTAGTGGATCACCTTTCTTCCCCTGTGGTATTTTGTACAGCACTGGTGCACAGTAAATTCTCAACAATATTGATGACAACAATGATTAGTGATGAACCAGTTCCATATTTCTCTGCTTTCAGTCCTTTCCTACCATTTTATTCTCCATAGTGCCTGCTATTTCTGGATTTCAAGCCTTCTGGATACCTGTCTCATCTACCTAGTTTAGGGTTTTTTTTTTTTTTTTTTTAAATGAGAGTGTTAGCTGCATATTCAGTATCTGCCTTCTATAGTAGATGGTGGTGACTTCAAACAGTTGTAAATCTATCCCCAAGCATATGCACATACTTTGATGCCTTTCTAAATTTGAGAAAGTATGTTCCTAAAGTTTTACCAGTTACTACACAAAAGAAGCATTTTCTGGTCAGATAGTTTGGGAGAATACTGGATGAAACAAAATTAAACAGTTTAGAGTTGGTTTGTTTTGTTCTTAAGGAATTCTCAGGTATTTAAAACACTAATGTAAATCCTGAATTTCTAAGGGCGATGTTATGGTTCAGATGTGAGTTGTCCCCTCCAAATGTTCATGGTAGACAATTCAGGAATGTTCAGAGGTAAAATGATCAGATTATGAGAACAGTCACCTAATCAGTGGATTGGCCCATTTGGTGGAATAATAATTTGATTGAATGGATTAACCGGGTGAAAACTGTAGAAAGGTAGAGCATGAGGAGAGGAAATAGGTCACTGAGAACCTTTTGTCCGTATTGCCTGTCTCTGCTTCCTGGCTGCCACGAGCTGAGCAGTTTTCCTCTGCCACACGCTTCCACCATGATGTTCTGCCTCACCTTGGGCCCAGAGTAATAGAGTTGGTTGACCACAGACTGAACATTTAAAAATTTTAGCCCCAAATAAATTTTTCCTTCTCTAGGTTATTCTTATCAGGTATAGTGGTCACAGCAACAAAAAGCTGACTAACACTTTTGGGGAGGATGGAGGGTCATAAAATATATAGAACTCTTGAAACATATTTGATCCTAAAATCACTTATTGACTGAAACTCTAGTATAACATGGAACAAACTTTGGGAAATGTTAAATATTCTATGAGTTTCAATTAAACACATAGTAGTTATCCCATTTGTTCTAAAATATTTTTAAACAATAACATGCCTTTCCCCAGGGTTTGTTTCCTTCTATGTAATGTGTCTCTTCCCCAGGGTTTGTTTCCTTCTATGTAATGTGTCTCTTCCTTTTATTTATTATTTCAGGACTTAGGTGCTGTTATTTCTCATCCTGAATTTCTGCAGACAGAAATCATAGATTGTTTAAGTCTGACCTCATATGTGAGCTGCTCAATTCCCATAATCATTTTGGCTGTTCTGTTCTAATCACATAGTTTTCAAAGTGCAGAGTTTAAAAAAAAAAAGTTAATTAACTATTAGCAATGAAAACTAGCATTTATTGAGTGTATCTTGTGGACCATACATCATGCCAACAGCTTTACATATAACATACTATATTTCATCACAATCTTATAAAGTAGGTATTATTAATATTCCCATTGTGCACACAAGAAGACTGAAGAGAGTTTTTAGTAACGTTGTCCAAGTAGGTCTCATTTTATGAAGAGGATTGGGAATGGGTTTAAAATTTGTGCTTTACTCTTAGCTATTATCAGACATTGCCTTTCCAGGGTTGATTTTATTTTTAAATAAATGTAGTGCTACCTCCTGACCCAGAATCCTTAAAGAACAAATGTGTCTCAGTCCAGCCTTGGGTGCTAGCACAGGACCTGCCATGCTGTAGCCAATACTCACTTAAAACAGTGATTAAGCAACTTGCCCAAACCATTTAGGAAGTGAAAGTTTTTAAACTATTTCCATAATATACACAATTTTTTCATCAAGACCATGCATGCTCAGTGTACCTATTGAGTTCTTCCTCTCCTTGAAGATGGTTTTCACTGGGCTTTTGAGTGCCCCAAATAGATGATTTTGTCCACCCTACCCCTATATCCATTCTGCCCTTGTCCAAACACACAACAGTCTTAAAACCTATTAACTAAATTTACCAGCAAATGGCTAATGCCTTGGAAAGCAAGAAAGCACTTTTGTTACTTAAAAAAAATTTTTTTTGTTTGCTAATTTTATTCTTATTCCTATTGTTAGGGTGAGGCTCTCAACCCAGGAATTTCCCACTTGGGAACCCTTTCAGATGTGCAGATTTCTCAATTTAAACTAAAAGCGCCATGATAGCCACTGGGTGGGGGCACAGAGCTGGGGACACCCCCAACCGTTCCGCAGTTACGTTAGTCCCACGTGCTGTCCCAAGCCTTGGCGGTTGGAAGCACCAGGTGGTTTTTAGGAAACCCGGTCCATCAGAGGACTTTTATGGGATAAACGTGACCACATGCCCCAGGGGCCTTTCAGATCTGCAGGGAGAGGCTGCGTCCTGGTCAGGTGGAGAGTGGCCAAAATTCATGTGGGTTGCTGGGTCGCGGATGGTTGGACGCCACCTAGCAAAGACTTTAGCGACTGTATCTCTCTCTGGGACCTTGGCCTCTGGGGCAGTCAGACCCAGCAGCTGCCCCAGCATCCTGGCCAACGGGAGCCCATTTTCCTCTTGTGAGTTTCCTCTAAACTTCGTCATGTTGGGTTGGAACTTGACTGAGGAGAACCTGCACAAAAAGTCCAGGACATCTCCATACCCTGGCTCCAATGTGGAGCGAAGCAAGGTCCCCGATGAGAAAGTCAGCTGGTTGGTTGAGTGGCCAGAGTACAGCCCTGTGGAATACACTGCTGGCGCTGTTTTGGCTCTGCCTGCATGGGCAGACCCCCGGGTGGGTGAAAGGAACTTCTCTCCCAACTTCAGTGAAAAGGATGGGCATGTGACAGAAGGAGCCAGAACGGCTTATATGAAGTTGAACATGGTAGACCCAGAAATCCTGCCGGTCGGACAGGGCTGGCTGGCAGAGGGCTTTTGGGTCGTTGGGGCCCCAATCATGCCGCCGATCCCATCTTAACCAGGTGGAAAAGGGACTCCAAGGGCAACACAGTTAATCATCCTATTTCTGGGAAAAACATGCTGCAATTTGTAGCCATCAAAAGGAAGGATTGTGGTGAATGGACAATCCCAGGAGGGATGGTGGATCCAGGGGAGAAGATTAGCACGACGCTGAAGAGAGAATTTGGCGAGGAAGCCATGAACTCCTTACAGAAATCTCGAGTAGAAAGGCAGGAGCTGGAGAAAGGCTTGCACAGACTATTCAGCCAGGAGCATTTTGTGGTCTATAAAGGCTATGTGGATGATCCTCAGAACACAGATAATGCGTGGATGGAGACAGAGGCTGTGAACTACCATGATGAAACAGGTGAAATAATGGACAATGTTCCCCTAAAAGCTGGTGCTGATGCCAAGGAAGTGAAATGGGTAGACATTAATGATAAGCTCAAGCTTTATGCCAGCCACTCCCAATTTATTCAACTTGTGGCTGAGAAGAGAGGTGCCCACTGGAGTGAGGAGCTGTGACCTGACTGTCATGGGTGGACAAAGGTGGATAAGAAACAAATAGCACAGAATTTCCACTAAACAGGTCAGGGCGGATCACCTGTTTGGTAATCATTTACCAACTTTGCATAGTGTGAAAGGTTCATTATCAGGGAATGATATGGGAAACAAATATGGAAGAGTGGGATCATAATCTTTTGGTTTTCCAGTTAGAACAGGAGAAATAGAGTCACATGTTGTATATATGGTTTAAACAAAATTATACAATTGATGTTCTTTGAATAATTGTAGGTAAAATGAACATTAATGTTCTTTGAAGAATTGTAGGTAAAATAAAGATATTTTCTTAACCGATTAAGCCAGTTTGCATTGATCAGTTTTTTTCTTTCTCCTGATGTGTTGGAATGTGGCCTCATCTAATGAATAATCTTGGGAACATTTGTTTTCCAATTTAGTCTCATGTGATCTTGTATTCATTGCTTGTGAGTATGGAAGCTTTGTGATTATTCTCATTTTTAGAGGCTTTGATTTTATGGGAAAGTCCAGTCTCTGTTTTAGTCCATAAGGATCAAGTATTTGAACCAGGCCAAAAAAAGGTGTGGGGAGAGGGAGAAACAACAAAATGAGCTTAAAACTCAATCCTCTGTTTATCACAATTTTTTTTTTTTCTGTCTGAATGGAACAGACTGAGCTAAGGACATTGGTTTCCTCAAATTTCAGAAGAGGACCCTGCAAATACAGATTCCTGCCATGAACAAGGCTCTATTAGGAGGTATATGTAATCTAAGCTAACGGAAATACAGCTAACTCCTACTGCCTTTTCTCAATTCAACAACAACATCACCAAACCCCAATATCCAAATAGAGAACATGCTTATTATTGGGGTTCAAACATGGAGATGGCCCCCGACACCAAAACTGAGGGGATTCCAATAGCAACAAACAGGCCAAAAAATAACTTACTGTCTTATCACATAAAATAAATCAGTTAATTTTATTTTACAACATAACAAAATTAACTCAACACTACAATGACCCTTTACGACTGCAGAAAAAATAAAGACTATTACAGGAGTTGGTAAGCCCCAGGAAGATCAATACTTGCAGCCAACACATTTCCCTTACTATGTGCAAACACCCTTTTAAGTCCTTTCTTGATGGTGAAACTTGTTTACTTCTAAGGATCACCCTATGAAGGGGGTACACTTGTTTCAGGTTGGGTTCCCTGGGAAACAGAGCCCAAGAGGGAGTTTAGCATGCAGGGTGTTTATTAATCAGTGGTCTTGGGATCAAACATAGGGAAGGAAGGAGAAGAAAGCATGATTGGGCAGAGAGCCTGAACTGGAATGCAGCCCCAGTGAAGGCCTCAGCCAGGTCCATGTGGAGCTGTGCATCTAGAGAGGCCCTGCTAGCTGCCCTGCATTGGAGTAACACAAGCAGCCCCTCCTTCATGCACCTTGTTGATCACTCAGGTGACTGCCCCTGGAATAAGATGCTGTCTTAGGATGGATGATTTCCCTAGCTAAGGCAATCCCCCCAAAGGGCTGTTAACTGAGAAGAGGAATCTGAAATCCTTTTTTATGTAACATAGCTGAAGTTGTGAAACTTAAATGAAGAAACACAACTAGGTAAGTGGTGAAAGTAAGATTAGAGCACATTGGTTTGGCTCCAGAACCACACCCTTGACCAGTATACTCTATAGTCTCTCCAATAATTGCCCTCCTATTCCCTCTGCATTGTTCCTGTGAGGAAGAAATTACTGCTATATCCCTTCCCACATGCACATTTGGTCAAAGTCCCTTTTCTAAACTTAAAGGACAGCTGCATGATTGCACTAGTTTTTCTCCTAAAAAAACGTGTTTTTATGGGCTATGACCATTGTGAAAAGGTTCACTCATGGATGCCCATCATTGTTCATGCTCAGGAACAAATTTAACACATCGCTTTTACTTGTGAATTCTACAACTGCTTGTTTTCAAGACAGAGGCATTTGTCCTGTTTATTAGTCTCATCTCAATAACTTTCTCAGGTGAGATAGGCCCCCTGTCTTTATTGGAATAATTGAAGCACCCAGTTGGCTTAACATTTTTTAAATGTTCCAAAACTTACTTCATTATGCTTTTAAAAATGTAAGCACAAAAAACCCCACTCTGCATTTACATATTTATTACATAACCATTGCAAAAAGAAGAAAATGAAAGTCTAAAAAATGCCTCAAATTTAAAATGTTCAGAATTCTTGTCCCCCCCACCCACCAAAAAACAAATCCTTTTCCTTTGTAATGCTTCCCTGATAAATCGCACCCAAATCCATGCAAGTTGGACAAGAAAACAAGGAATAATCTGGATTCCTTGCTTTTCCTCACTGCCAGTCAACTCATCTGCAAATTGTAGTCAGCTCTATCTCAAACTATTATCCAGAACCGTTCACTGCTTTCAAACTTCACTGACTACCCTAATCAAGCCACCATCCCTCCTTTAGACTACTGCAAAAACCTCCTTACCCGCCTCCCTTCTGTTACTCTTGTCGTCCTCCTGCCAGTTATTTTTCACAAAAAATGAAATGAAATTTTAAAGAAAACCAGTTGCATCACATGTTACCCCTCTTAAGACCATCCAATTGCTTCCTTTTGTACAGAAAATAAAATACAAATTCCTTTTTCCATCTTTCCTGTTTTGGACAATGCCTATTGCTCCTGGGCTGACCTGGTAACATTCCACACTTCATCTTTGCTTTTGCTCCAGGGTCTTTGCTTTGCTTTTCCTTGCCTAAAAGTCTCATATCTTCGCAAAGTTGACTCATGTTTCAGTCCAATAACACTCCCTCAAAGATGGTTTTCCTGACCATCTAATCTAAAGCTGCTCGCCCCATTTGTTCCTACTCCCTTATCCTGTTTTTTTTTTCTACATAGTATTTAGCACCACCTGAAATTATCCTGTATGTTTTCTGTCTGCTTTATATGATAAATAGAATCCATAAGAGCAAGGAGTGTGCTTTATTGTCGACTGCTGTAGCCCCCATACCAAAATAGTGTCTAGCACGTCAACAGATTTCTTTTGGAAAATAACTGCTCTTAACAATTTTCTGTATCCTGTCTTTAAAAAAAATATGAACATGAACTGGGCATAGTGGTATAATACACATGAGGCAGGAGGACTGCAAGTTAGAGGCTAACCTGAACAACTTATCAAGACCCTGTCTCAAAATAACATGGAGGGAGGCTAGGGGTGTTACTCAATGGTAGAATGCCTTGGGTTAAATTCCCAGTATCAGTCTTTCTTTCTCTCTCTCTCTCTCTCTCTCTCTCTCTCTCTCTCACACACACACACACACACACACACACACACACACTCATACACACACACTTATGTGATTATATACTTAGTCTAACTTGTTTTCTGAACTTTTTTATTTTGAAGTAATTTTAGAGTTACAAAAACAGTAACTCAGGATTCCCATTTAACCCTTCACCCAGTTTCCCCAAGTGTTAATAAGCTGATTTACAGATAAGACAATTACTGAAACCAGAAAGTTAACATTGGCTCAATGCTTTTCACTATTAACTAGTTTAAAGATCTTGTTCAAAATAGGCCAATATTTTCACCAATGTGTTTTTATGATTCTAAAACCCAAAGATTCCACATTTCATTTAATTGTGTTTTCTGGGTTTCCTCCAATCTGTGAAAGTTCCTCAACCTTTCTCTCTTTCAAATCTTGACATTTTTGAGGTTATTGGTCAGTTTTCTAGAAGAATGTCTTACAATTTGAATTACCCTGACATTTCCTTGTGGATACATTGAGATTGTATATTTTTGGCAAGAATACCACAGATGTCATGTTGCTTGGTCAAACTTTTTCACAGAAAAAAATTAAGGTAAAAATTTCAGTGTAATCACTTCTAGATAACAAATATATAGCTACATTTTTAAAACATCACTATGGAATTCCCAACACATTGTATTATTTTTACCAGCATTATATATTTATGCATGCATGTTCAATTGAATATATGTTTATCTAACTCTCCTACTCTTTCTCTGTAGGAGACTTAGTGGCCAGGAGGTTCCAAATTTCATTGCCTATTATCTTTATCCTTTTCTTTAAAGTTTCTGCTAAGATGACAGTTGAATGCTGTGTTATCCTGCCATAGCAGTTACCTATATTTCTCTCTCTCTCTCTCTCTCTCTCTCTCTCTCTCTCTCTCTCTCTCT